TAAAAATATAATATAAGCTCTAGTGGACTTGGTTCTATGGTAGGTCTTAAAGGGTTAAACGGTGCTCAAACCAGTGCTTAAAGGATGGAGAACACAAACTTTGTCCAAAAACCTCTTATGTTTTTATTTTTAGCAGTTTCTTTTTTCTGCAAAATGATAAGCAAGTTAGCCTTTTCTGTTGATACAACATACCTCCTTTGGTTGGAACCGGTGCTTAAACAATGGAAAACACAAACGTTGTCCTAAAACCTCTCATGTTTAGCTGTTTTTTTTAAAATAAAAAGATAATAATGTTAGCCTTTTCTGCAGCTATAGGGTATATATGTTATCACTCTATCAAACAAGAAGACAGCCACATGTAACTATGATGGTGTAACGTTAAGCTACTCAACCAGAGAAGAACGGCTGCTGCTGCCATCATCATCCGTCATCATTTCTGCTACACTGGCAGGGCTAGGGGCCAGGACTCTACTCTTCGGTTTCTTGGGGGATGTTGCTAACTCCAGGTCTGATAATAGGCACCACACCCGCAGTAGATGTGCGCGGTGTGAGGTCTTGCAGCAAGATATTAAATACGGTGCATTTCTTGGCTTTTAAAAAAAATGCTATGCATTGCCAGGTGTTTCATCAGATTCGAGGTGTTACCTCCTTTCCACAGTATCACCTTAAAGCACTTGTTGCAGGCTGCTGAGTTTGCATCTTTTGCTGTGAAGTACAGCCAGACTTTTGACTGCTTTGCCTTGGGCATTTTTAATCTTTAATCTGCTCTAAAAGAACGTACGTACCTGGGCCCACCTGCTATCCTTGGTAAGGTAAAATGATTGGCTAGAATCAAAAGTGTATGACATCTCAAGAAAAAAAAAGCACCGAAATGTGCGCTGCTTTTCAGTCTGGTTGCTACCGTTTATGTCAGAACCTATTGGTACCCATCCCTAGTCCTGACTGAAATTTGGTCCGTTTACAGCATTATGCCATGCGATTGCATTTGTCCCTAGCCATCAGACCCTCACGTTAACTTTTATTGAGTGAAAAAAAGTTAGCGTTCATCCTCCAGCTTCACTGTTTATGTTATGCTAACATAGCTCGCTAGCAATCATATAGCACTTCATTAAATACCAGCTAGTCCAACTTCAGTAACCCTACAAACGTCACTGCTGTTTAGTTTTCTATCTTCGTTAATGTTGGAAGTGATAGCAGAGCCGCATGTTGTTTTTTTCCCCCAGAACTCTGCTATATCATGTTTAGGTGGAAACTACCAAGCTAACTTCCTGCTAATTCCTGGCTCTGCTCGGTTTTCATGGATGGCTGAATGTTAAACTTAATTGTTACACCTGGTAAAGCAGCAACGCTGATCATTTTATTAAAGATGAAAGAATTTAGACAGTTTTTAATTCTCAGTGATGCCGCAGTGTTCGTTTGACTTTGGGACCTGAAGCGGACAGAGTTTTGGACCCAGATTACTCCGTGAGGCTCCTGACTATGGTAGACGTAATTACTGATGTGCGAATCATGAACGAATCGTTCAATATTTGAGAATCACTTTACTGACTCGTGAATCATGATTCACAAGCCCAACTGTCTCATTCACTGACTCATCCCTGTTGCTCTTAGCAAACTAATTTCACTAGCAGAAATTTATCTACCTTATAATTACAATTATGGGGGAAAAAAACAACAGCCAGTTTCTTAACAGAAACATTTCTGCTCTGAACTGGAAGAAAAAACCCTGAGTAGAAGCTCACATCAAGACAATGGCTCCTCAGTTCACAGTAGCATCGCTCTGCTAACATGCTAACAGCACATGTAAGTTACTCACCCCCTCCTTTTCTGTGCTGAATCTTAGCATGAACAAATCACTCACCCCCTCCCTTGCTGTGCTGAATTGTAGCATAAAGGAATCACTCACTCACCCCCTCCCTTCTGACTCACAGCTTCTTCTTCTTCTTCTTGGTTGGAAACCGATGTTAAGGCGCATTATTGCCCTCTGGCTCACAGCTCAGTGGACATTTAGATGAGAAAATATATATTTGACACATTTGAGGAAAATACTAATAAAATAAAATAACAATAAATAAAATTAATTTTCCCTTTAGAAATCTTTTTTTTTTTTTTGCTCTTTTTTGCTCTATAAAAATAGTTGTTTTTCTTTTTCAATCACTCATCTTAGTAGTAGGATATACATGAAAAGAGAAACAAAGTAAGTTTGAGTGAAAATTGCACTCTCTGGGCAACTGACTCAAATGACTCGAAAAACACGATTCATTTTGGTGAGTGACTCATTCAAACTCGATTCAGTAAAAATAATCGAATTTACCATCACTAGCCGTAATGCTCTGACAATCACACCAAGCGGTGCGGCTTCGTACCTTACCAAAGTCGTACTAAAACCTTTTGACAGATTTTTGAGCACCGTGTTCCACATAAAATTGGTTCGAGGTCATTAAGCACAACCAGAATTCATACATAAGGCACACTGGATTATAAGGTGCACTGTCAATTTTTGAGAAAATTAAAGGATTTTAAGTGCGCCTTTATAGTGCCTAAAATACGGAAGAAAATAATATATCGTGATATATACCGTGATATGGATTTTACGCCATATCGCCCAGCCCTATGTGTCAGCCTTCCTTGTAAGAAAAATAAACTTAAATTTGACTGTTTGTTAGCAGTTTTTGAGATATCATTTTCAAATTGTGTGTGATGGTAGATAACAACAACAACTTGAGTTGATTTAATTTGGGTGAAAATTTTCTCAAGGTCAGACAAAATGTGATCATCTTAAAACTACAATACAATTGTCTATGACTGTCATTGTTAGCACCATTGTTTCTTTTGCTTTTTTTTAAGTACTTCTCCCTACCACCTCACAATGATGCCTTAGCAGGCTTTCCACGTCTAAACAAAAAAAAAAAAAATCACAAAACATCAAAGTCTCTTGCACTTTGGGAGAAGTTGCGCTCTCTAAGTGTGTTTGTTGTAAATATTTTTATTACTTTCTATAATTATTTTTTAAATTTTATTTATTTATTTTTAAATAGGAGCCTGGTGGATGTGGTATATGCCCTGAGGGATGAGGTTCAAGAGCTGAAACAGGTGATGTTGGATGTTTGTTGGGTAACTCATGATACTGTGTTTATGAAATTATAGATGTCAAAAAAAAATGTCATCTTCAGATTTGTTTTAAAATGTATTTCATGATTGTTTTCCAACACAGGATAACAAGAAGATGAAGAGGTCACTGGAGGAAGAGCAGCGAGCACGGAAGGATCTAGAAAAAGTTGTTAGAAACGTTCTGAAGAGCATTAATGACCCAGCGTGGGATGAGACAAACCTGTGAGGCTCAAGTTAACACCCATGTGAAGCTTGTAGAAAGAAAGAACTTGTACAGTACCTGTGGACTTGATTGCACTGTTTGAAAGACAGTCACATACATGAATTAAGCTCAGTTGCGTGAAGGTAAATGTCCATCTTAAGGCAAGTAAATGTGGGCTTGTTTGAGATGGATCCACCAGTGCACTTTAAGTGCCATTCAGCTTAATAGACAGGCCTTATTGAGATGACTTGTTAAACTTTCTCGACCATCTGTCCCAAAATAACATTCCTTGATTACTAAGCAAGCGTGACTGTACTGAACCACCCAGCATCAATGTCTGTGGCTGTGTTCACAAAGCTGGAGGATAACTGGAGAGAGTTCCTCTCCGTCTGTTTACAATCATTTAACGGCACAACTATCCACTGTACAGAATGGTACTTTAATGGTGTTAATGGTCCAAAGGCTTTGACAAGTCTTAACTTGAACAAAGCCATTTCATAACCTCTTTATTTAATTTTTTATGAAATGATTTTTTTGCAGGGTATCCTCCGCAGACTCAGGCTAAGCCTGATGTTTTTAACCTTTAGCAAAGCTTGTGCCAGGAAACTCCTTTATGTCTGTTTTTAATCCATTTTTTTCTTTTGTTTTTGTTTGACAACTTTACTTTTTTATTTTTCCTAAGGGAACTGTACAGATATTAATGTTGTACTGTATATTGTAAATACTGCTAAAAGATGAGCCTTTGCCCGTTGGGATAAATAAATGTGTTCTCTGAGGTATGCTTTTGAATGCCGCTACTAAATCTGCACCATCCCCATTTAGTATTATGGAAGGAATATATACACACACGCGCTCGCACTTGTGTGCCCGCTGGGATTAATACATGTCTGTCAGGAAATAAACCTAATAAGAATACCAATATTTAAATTCAAAAATTTTACTATTAAACTTTTAGTTTATATTTAACTTGCCTGAAAGCTTTAGGTGACATAGAAAACCACAAAATCAGCTTATACGCCTGTGTGTGACTACTTCATTATTTCTTTTCAGCACCTATGCACAGAGGCTGTGGATAGGTGCTGGTTTGAAGCCTTTTTGGGAATCTCGCCATATTTCAACAGGTTTGAGAACCAATAATTACATGATGCTACGAGCAGAACTTATTTCTATCCAAAGAAAATCACAACAAGTTAAGTCAAAAATGACTCTCACCAAAGAGTATACCTGTCTAAAAACTTTTTCCAGTGGTAAATGAAGTAATTTATATAAAAATAATTTTTCAAAAGTCCACAGACTTAACAAGTTATTATTTTAAGCTCTACTTTGGTTAAATGTTGTTTAGTTTCTGATAAAACACCTGAAAATGTGAAGTAAATAATTCTAGTGTATAAAAGAACAGTGGTTTCCACTGAAATTTAGTAGACTGAATGAAATTGGACTACAGTATGTTTTCTATAGTATATCGTTACTAAAATATGGGCTTGTGAGATTTAACAGTGACTGTAACTGAGTAATATTAGATTGAAATGTATCTAATTGGCTAATAACAGGCCAAACACTAATATCATGAACACAAATATGTGCCTAAACCATTATAAACCACTGTATTCTTTCCTTTTGTGCTTTAGTATATTAGGTACTAAACAATAACATGTAATTAAACAAGTATTACATTTTATAACAACAACCACAACCCTGTTACTGTTCTTCTTATAAGTCAGTATATAAACATTTTAATGCAGAGATTTTTACTTATTTATTACAAGCAGTTTATTATTATAGTTACCAGTATAGTAGAGTGCATACTATATACTATGCTATTACTGTAACTGGTTTTGTCTCATAGGATTAGTTAATACTTTGGTAATACTGTAGTAATAACTTGGAATTTCCATATTATCACCACTTTATTACCACTGTTACCACAATATTACTGAGCTGTAATAAGCACTGATAAACTATTTGGCTCTCTGTGTTTACCTTTGATGACAGAAGAAAAAGCTCGCTGACTTGTCTACCTCTCATTTATTTGGAGTCAAATATCTGGACTGGGGTTACATTCAACTCTTGCTCAATATATAGATCTGGTTTATTCTGAAGTTTCTCCACAGGGAAACATCTGGATTTTGCTGTTTTTGTTTTGTTTTGCTGTTTAGTGCTGAGAAGAAACACTCTGGGCTAAACTGGGTTCCATTGGAGCTGGAGATGAAGCCGACGGGAATGAAAATAACCAAAAGTAGCCAAAACTGTAAAGTTAGGGGCAATAAAGCCATACGTCCGGTCCTGCTGCTACACATGAGTGAATTAATTCATCTTATTCAGATGTCATTCTTCCCTTGGCCGGAGGGTGCCTAACAATGGCTGCTAGGCCTTATTAGTTATTTATTTATTTGTAAGTTTTCAAATTTCCCAACTGTTTTGGGAGAACTTTGCGAGCGAATGATATTCCAAACAGATCCACGAGGTAGAAGGAGGAGGGTTGGCTGAGAAATAAAGCAATGTAGGAGAGATGTCAACTCTGCCATTGCTTTTTGGAAGCAATGCAACATTAAATTGAAAAAAATACGCCTTATACCAGCCTATGTCTTTTTTTCTCCCCCAGCACACACAGTAAAAAGTGCCCTGTCACCTTAACCTCTTGCCTTGTTTAACACAGTAAGGGTAAGTTTGGCATGAAAAACTGATGGCCAAAGTGCTTGACTATTTACATGCAATACCATGATATCATAGTGGTCTGTGTGTATTCTAGCTCTTTTTAAAAAATCCAGCCTATTGAATTCTATTGTGCACCCTGGTAATCGCGACAAGCTTTGTAGGGGGGGAGAAGATCTCATTCGGCTGTTGTTGGATGAATAAGCGCAGATGTCAACCTTTTCACTGTGACTCTCACCTTGTCCACTCAGTTGTAATGAAAACGGCAGCCTTTTGTTTCATGTTGAATATTCCTTCATAGGAACAAAGGCACAATTCGCATTCATCCTGTGAGGCAGATCTCGGCAGATAAAGCCAGGCCAGCACTGCCACACTCTGACCTTGCTGGCTTGACTCCCTGAAAGTGTTTGGCTGCCTCTCTATCCTAAATAGTGAAGTGGCTCATGAAAAGAGCCATTGCCTTACTGCTGGGAAGTTTACCTGGCACTCTGAGCATGATGTTGCCCATAAAGGTACATAAGTACACATTGCAGCTAACATTTGGGCTCCAGCTTGCTTTTATTTGTCCTTCAACTTTCCCGGGGAACACTTGAGAGCCTTCTTCTTCCTGTCAAGTGTCTGGTGGGTGAGAAACTTTTGAAATAAGGAGGCAGACGCATATTATCGGGGTTCTGACCTGCCCCAGCCCCTCTTCACTCTCTGACTCTTTCTTCCAACCAGGATGGAGTGACAGCTTGTCACTGTGGCTGCTCCACAATACAGCTCAGACCCCCCGACTATTGTGGAGCTCAGGAAAAAAAAGCACCAAGGTCTTCCTCTCTCTTTCCTTCACTCTTTTTTCTCCCTCTTTTCAAAGCAGAGAATCAATCAGCTGTACACACACACATACATACACACGACTCATTTCTTTTCCCTTCCCTCTGTCTATTCAGCAGCCAGTGATCATTTAGACTTGACATGTATTGTGAAAAACTGAGCTGCTTTGCCTCTTTCTTCTTCTCTTTCTTTCACTCCCTTTCTCTTTCAACTGTCTGTCATTAATGTCCAGGTCTTACAATATACGAACAGAGGAGAAGAAGAAAGCGAAGAGTGAGGGATGAATTGATGGATGGGAGGATAAGCGCTCTGTGTCCTTTCTTTAAAGATTTGTTATTGTACAGTACTGTCTCCCAGTCATTTTTGGTTGGTGTTTCAGTCTGAAAGCCCATCCACGTGCTCTTTTGTATGGGAAAGCAATAAGGCCCCATTGAATGAAGCTGAATGGACCTGCCATCCTTAGGGGCTGAGGCCTGAGGACTCCTATTCTTTAGCCCCCAATCTAATTGGAGCTGAAATGAAATGGAGGTTTCTTATGAAAATAGGCTTTGTTTGGCCGCAAGGCTGGTAATTCATAAACAATAAGCAGGGCCCCATTGTGTAGATAATAATATATTCATGCCGCTGGAGATGGGGAGAAAGCAAAGCGAAGGCTGAGGATATATAAGGAGGATAGGCAGAGACAGCGATGGAGAGTGAAGGGATAAGAAGAAGGGGAGGAGGAAGACGAGGGGCTAATAGCAAATAGTGGGTCAGAGAAAATTTGTAATAGTTGGGTAGAGGCAGAGGATTTATTAGAGGAAGTGAAAGGACTGAAAGTGGGTAGGAGTGAAAAGTGAGTGGGAGTGAGGAAGGTGAAAATAGGAGTAGGCGAGATAGACAAGATAAGAATGAGGCGAGGAGGGCGGGAGATTGGGAAATGGTTTTGAGTACCTCTGAGTCTACAGGTGACTGGTTTGGCAGCAGTGGGGGGAGAAGGCAAGTGAGTGAAAGTGTCATAGAAAATGGAAAAGGTTGCACAGTGCAAATCTGTGTGGTGTTGAGAGTGGTGGAGCTGATAGAGTGGATTGGTCAAGTGCAGAGACAGAGCAGTGGAAAAAGAAAAAAAACCCACAGTCAATGTCTGACAAGAGAGAGGAGAGAGGAGACCGGTGTGCCTGCGCTGGTGTAAACATGACAGGAGGGCTTTTACCGCCCGGAGACAGGAGTGTGGCTGAGGAGAGCAGGTGAGCTTTCTTGACACTCTGATGCATCAGTCCACGCAGATTATCGCTCTGTGTTATCATCTGTAATCGCACAGGTCAAAGCTGCGTCTGTGCGATGATCTCCAGCTTAGGCTGCACATCCTTAAAGAAGTGTCATCTCAAACAGCAGGACCAAAAAAAAGAGAAAAAAAGTGCTGGACTTAGTGCGAGTGGAGTGACAGGCTGACTGAAGGGACCCTGCTTCCTGTATGTAATCTGAGCAGCTGCTTGGTTCATGTGAACGGGCTTGTTACCATTGATGGAGTGATTTTTACAAAGTGACTGGAAACATCCATTCCTCTGGAAGCTTCGGGAAACAAAAAGTGCTGCTTCTAATTTTCTTTTTTTCCCTCCTTCTTCTTCTTCTACTTCTAAAGTGGTATATGATGGACAGAGTTTCGTGGAAGTGGAGGGAGAAGATTTTGAGGACCCAAATTCAAAACCCAAACTGTGAACACCTCCGACAGCGAGAGCTTTGAATTAACAGTGAGTAAATCTCAAATGGTACTAAATAGGTGGACTGAGTTTGCGTGTGTGCGTGTGCGTGTGTGTGTGTGTGTGTGGGGGGGGTTTCTCTTACACTTTTTCGTGCAAGAAGTGCAGTGTCACCTGTGAGGTGTAACCCACATACAGAAGTTGTGGTCCACGCTCAGTCTGCACGATGTCTCTCCTATGGGAGACACGGAAAAAAGTTTTTTGTGGACACACTGTGCAAAAACTTGTCCACAGGTGTAAGTATCAAATGGACAGAGCGACGAGCTTTTACGCTTCAACAAACATTAACAGAATGTTTGTGTTTTTACTTTTAGTGTGCAAGTTTGCACATAACTGCACATCAAGAGGACTTGATGTGTGCATGTGTGAGAACATGTACAGTGTGTGTGTGTGTGTGTCTGAGTGTGAAGCCCTCTGTCTCACTGATGGATGGATTCTTTCATTGGAAAGCAAAATGTTAAATAACGAGCCAGGTAAATACTGTTGTGAGTCATAATTACCAGGAAGGCTCTGCTCTGTTTAGGTGCATGCAAACACCTCTACCTGCTATTTCACACCAAAC